CTCTCTTCGTCGCGCATTTTCCTTCCTTCTTATTACACACGATTATAATATATATATATATATATTTATTTATTTATTTATTTATATTTATATGTATAATTTCGCCGACGTGTATATCGCCGACGGCATCTAACAACAGTGATGGAAGGTGCCGATCGAGTACGAATCGTCTCGGCGTGATTCTTTTGATTATATTTTCCTTTTGGCATACGAGACGCGGTGTATCGTGCTGCTTTGATTTTCGATAAGGCGAGAGAACTCGACGAGAACTCCCCGACGCATCCCCGATCCTCTGGAAGGCACAATCTCGACGAACGTTCGCAGTTTGTCGGGACGTTTCGTACGCCAATATCGATCCCCGACAGCTTTCGCCAATCGATGTACTTGCATTTGCTACGCATGACACACGTTTTGTCCCGCTTTTACTTTCCAAGCGACGCTGTAGGAACCTTCCGACAAAGGGTTCATCATGGAGACAACACAAATCCAGGGATTGTAACCGATGCGATTTCGAGCTCAATTTCTGACGCTAGAGGTATCAAAGATTGGTGTTTATGCCGTCTCGCTAATTTCATTGTCACAAATAAACATGAAAATCACTTTGGCGATTAAATTTAGATACATCAAAATTATAGCGGTTCCAATTTCTGGATAAGAATCTCCTATTGGCATATATAACGTAAAGTATGGACAGTTCTTTTGTCATAAAAATTCGCTACACATCAACACTACAAATGTTACACCGGTAATTTGTTTGTTGTAACACACGTGTTTCTATCGGAAATACAATACATCGTCACTCAACTTGATCGCAAACTGTCACGCATCAGAAAGTTACGGGAACCGTTTTAGCCTAAAAAAAAGACGAGGATAACGTCCTATTAAAATCGACTTGCAGCGGTATTCTGTACCGTACCAACGATATTTGTTAGTACCATAATTATTAAGAAATAAATGGCCGTTTGTGCAATCGCGAAGTAATAAATTTAAGTTTTAATTTGACTCTTTCATTTTCCAATTATAATCTAAAAATAGAAAATTCCAATTATAATGTAAAAGTAATAAATTTTTGCTCCTAAAAATATTAATTGTCTCTTGATATTTCTCAATAGCGATAACATGGAGAAATGTACAACGTGCGGTACGCGATACCGCAGCTGATCTCGTTTAAATTTCGCTACCTATAGCACCTACGCCTACGTGTGGACTGTGCCAGCGCGGCGCCGCTGGTTGTCCGCAGTACGCGCTGCCGATCGACGACAGCGCGGGCGTGCCGATGCCGACACCGACGGCGACGGCGACGGTGCGGGCGTCATCGCCGATAGCGAATGCGGCCTGATTATCCTCGGTGTCGAAAATCCTGCAAAAGCCGGTCGTGGTGGCCGCTGTAGCTGCGGTCGCGGCCGTCGCGGTCGCGGCCGCTGCGGTCGTAGCCACCGTCACCGTAGCAGTATTTTCCATTGTTTCCGACACGGAATGTTCCCTACTTACATCACCATCGTCGCCGCCATCGATGCCGTCGCCGTCATCCGATGTAACACCGCCACCGCTGCCGCTCTCGCCTACCATATTCACGAAGAACTCGGACCTGGAGAACTTGCCGATCTCCGTGGAGCCAAAGGCCTGATGGAAACCTGGAAGCGGTTGCTTCGAGACGGG